TTGCAGCCCTAATCTAATAATGTCACATATGATATATCCATCAGATAGTTTTACTATATTTTGATGCTCATACTTAGACATTGTCACTGATGTAGGATTTTTTAAATGCAGCATTTTCATTTGTAATGGAGTATTATTAATATTATTATTATAACATTGCAGTTGTAGTACTTTCTAAAGTACAGGATTTTAATTCTTTTTCCACCAACAGTCAAAATAAAACCTCAGTAATTACAAACCTGATTTGTTTTCCCTGGATGATAGCTGATATTTTATATGAAGACTATAAACAGCCAAAAGAAAGCGTGGCTCACATTGCAGTTGCTCATGTATGCCCCTAGATGTTCTCCATGTCCCATCTTCTACTGTAGAGCTCCAGCAAAACCCAAACCTCCACCAGGTGTCATCATTTACCCAGACATGGACGGTTCATCACGGAAAACACCTGTAGTCATCTACTGCTGCTCCATTATAACTATATCATGACATGAGATAATGAAAATATACACCTATGATGTGACCATGCCACATAAGCCCACACATACACATAATAAATGAACTATTTCTGATTCTGATACACTGTGGTAGATTTACAGCAGTGACACACAAGAATGTGCTCCAGATGTCTCTGGGATGTAACAAAGCTGCTCATTATACACACACACACGGATATAATTAGAGCCAAAATGTCATGGCTTAATACAGTATTTGCTTGATTTACTCTTTGAATTGCAACAAGTCATTTAGTTGGAGCAGATCACGCGGCTCACCAGCTTGACACGACATAATGCATCAGCACGAAGCGTGAGGTTCCATTCATAATTCACATTGACCACATTTAAAGGGTTCTGTCAGACTGCGTGTTATCGAAAGTACACAGGACTGATCACATGCTCGGTGTGTCCTGTCCAGCCAGGAAAATCAGACGATCACCGAGCACAATCACACGAGGAGATCTGGTGTTGGTGCGTCAAGTCACCCTCTGGTAGAAACCATGCAGGGGATATTGGGTGTTTGACCTTCAAAATAAAGCATTCCAGAGGGCATTGCATCATAAAGAGAAAACTACTACTACAACCACTATTAATGCCATTACCAGCTGTGACTATAGTAATACAAACTTCACTTATGTTTATAATTTTAACCACTAAACGTAACAGGAAAGTGCTTTACAGGTTCAATATGTAGGTTTAACAATAAAACAGAAGATGAAGAGAACAATTTGAGGAAAGTTGACAAAAACGGTAATGTTTACGCTCAGCAACACAGGCATCGATGTAATTTACTCAGCTGCAAGATGTCTAGTCAGAAGAATATTTAGACAGCAACACTGATGAAATGCAATGAAACCAACAAATCCAATTAAAAAAAAGATTTTTATTTAAATACATATCTTTATATAAAAAAGGTATGTCTATGAAAACATGGTTTAACTTTACAATATGGAAAAACTTATATTCTTGCAAGACAGCAATAGACATAACATGTTATATCTTATATATGAATGCTATTATTTTGTTTTTCAATACAGTTTTCCATGGACGTTGATGCAAAAAACTGGCCGATTACCGGTCTGGCCATATTGTCAGATTAGATATTTAGCATTGTTGTGGTCGTCATAATTGTTATCTAAGTTAAACAATTCCAGGTAAAATTAGATACTTTCAAAATATTCTATTTTGGCTCTGATACACCAGCCTGTCTGTATTGATAATAAATAACATCCTATCAAGATTGAATGACAAATGTTGAAAAGCTCTGTTTTAATCAAACATGTGTACAACACATATAAGCAAAGGCATTTAAATAAAGTTTATTGTTGGGATTTGTGTTTTTTTAAATTTAGATGGCAAGAGTTTCATTTTTACATATTATATTGGTTCCAAATATCGATCATTGGTCCTTTTTATCACTAATAATTGATATCAGCCCTTAAAAAATCAGTCAACCCTAGCTGAAACAGATCGGAGCTTTAGTGTCAACACCCAAACACCTAGACATTGGTAATTCAGATATATAACAAAAACAATCACAACATGTAATGCTTCACTGAATCAAAGCCACTTATTTTTTTCTAAACGAGATTTTGAAAGAAATATATAGTTGATGGCTTTTATTTTGAAATCTGCATGAGGAACCGTCGTTTATCTGTTCCGCTTTGACGTTCTCCGACTCAAACCCATGACAGAAGCGTCCAGGCGCGGTAGTGGCTAACAAGTCTGCTGGTAAACACACACTAGGAAGCAGAGCAGTAGCGTGAAGTTAATTTTTAACCTTCCAGACTTTATTATCGGTCGGACGTACAGCCGCTGCGCTTAACGGGGAGCGCGGAGCATCACCGGCTGAAGCCCGGGACGTCACCTTAAAAACAGTTACAACGTCTCCAGCTAACAGTTAGCAGACACACAAACGTCCTCCGAGGACTGAAGCTGTAATATTTCCAGCCACCCTTTTTATTTTTTATTTTTATCCTTTTCGTGAGCGACTCAGACAGCCTGCCGGGAGACCACCAGCGACGCAAAGGTGAGTGCAAACCGAACAACACGAGCCCGGAATGACCGCAGCCGCCCGCCTCCGTCTGCTGGTGATTAAACGCGGCTAGCTTAATTGCTAATTCTCCGTGTGGCGGGGTGACAGCCGCGACTCCGCAGTCGAGCAATGCGTACGATTATGTAATAAATCAGGATTAGCGGGCACTGAGGTGTAGCGTCTTCATCTCCGTACGCTTCGCTGAGCTCCCTGCGTTTGTGCTAAACTCGTAAAACAGGTGCGAACATCTCGAGAAATAGCCCGCTTTGTAGTTGGAAGCTAATTCACAGCCACCGTGCGGGCAGGACGCCGTGTGCCGTGCAGCCGAGCGGGGAGCGATTAGCTTAATTTGGATTTCCTGCAGCCGAGTGAATCTGAGTGATTCAAGGAACAAGCAGAGAGTTTGTGGTGGGGAAAATGTATCTGCTTCTCTATCCTGACCTCCCCTGCTGGCTACACATCCCCACCCGCCCTCCAGCATCCTCCCCGGTCCCGCTGCAGTGTTGCATGTCTGCAGCCTCCCCATCCCTGGTGCTCTGTTACCACTTTCACCTGACAGGAGCCAGGAGCAGAAACAGGAGACTGGCTGTGGCCACTAAGAACTCTTCCTAATTGTGTCAGGCAACTGGTGCATCCGGTGGATCCTGGCCTCATCTCACATATCAGCCTCTCATGTTGTCCACCTGGGATTTCATGAAGCTTTCTCTCTCCTACACTCTGCCCAGTTAGTGTATTTTTGTAGCCGCCTGTTTGGAGCTTGAAGCTAATTCTCTCCATTTAACGGCCTCTGATGTAATTTTTAGTTATGACTCAATAGATGCAGTGGGAAGAATGAAATTATGTTGGAAACACAGAATGCAATTCATGTTTATAGTGCACAGAGATTGGAGGAGGCTGAATGAATGATTTTCAAACAGGCCCACCCCAGGCTCCACCACTTATAACACTACATTTCCATATTTCCATCCTCTCCTCTGCTCATGTGCATGTAAAGGAGGGTAATCCCAGACTTTCCATGGCAAACATTCGTCGAGGCGCCGAATCCAAGGTCACAGGAGCCACCAGCTCATTTGCCAGTCAAATGGAGTTTCCATCGAGCCCTTCTTGAACCAAAGCGTGCTGCCTGTGCACTGACCTGGTCGACACTCGGCTCTCGCTTCAAATGCAGAATCTACTTTATTTATATTAATACTGACACTCAGGTAAATTTGCATGATTAGTAATGTTGTAGGGGCTTAACCTTAATGTTTAATTTAGTCAGGAAATTAGTGTTTTATATCATATTGTATGTTCCTTGTGAGGTAAATCTATAGTGCCAGTGTTAATTCTCTACTGGGAGGCACTCTGGCTCAACAACTGTTATTCAGAATCTGCGATATAAAAAACTGAGACTGAGGCTTTATTGCTTTCACTATTTTACTTGTGTTCATTAATACTGACATTCTGCATCTGTAGTCTTTTTTATTTTAACTATATCTTAATTATTGTGTTGCCTTTTGGGTATCCTGCTTCTGGGTTGTCTGTGAAAGCACTTGCCCTCGTCTTTAAAAGTGCCATATAAATATCGTTCTATTCATTATTATTGTTCAGAGGAAATCAGAAATAGCATTTTTCCCCCCAGTTGATAGAAAAAGGATATCAAACTAAAAAAGAAAGTTGAAATGGTTTAACAGAGGTAAACACAACACTGTGATACTTGTAATATAACCTTACAAGTCAGTATTTCATTAAATTGCTAGAAAGCTGCAATGCAGTCGTGTCTTGATAATCCGACACTAAATGTAAAACCTTCTTTTATGTCGGATAGCAAGGCTGTCGGATTGTCAAGACGGAGGTCAAGATACAAGGAGGGCTTGATGCTGGAAGGATCATTTGTTGTTAATATTCATTGTTCATAGTTGTTATATTAACTAGTAGGGCTGGTCTGAATAGCACTTTCTGGTCTCTGGATATTCAGGCCCAATTAATGATGAATATCTGAATATTTAACGTAGTCGGGGGATACTTCCACCCCGGGGGAGCGCTCATACGGGGTGGAAGTGGCCGGAACGCACAGGCAGTACTTGGCTGCTGATGCTTGTTAGGATCGTGGTCACAGTTCTGTTTCCACCATCAGTGTTTACTTCCATAAACACTGAGCACGCTCGCTGCGTGTGACGTCATCGTGTCCTCTTCTGCGCATGCGGGACACTTTTGGGTCGTATGAAGTTCACACAGCAGATCACATACAAGTCGTATTGAACTGGAAATGTGAATGCATTTGCAAAAAAATTGGATTTCACAAAAGAATCTGAATTGAGCATGAAGTCCTGCAGTCTGAACGTAGCCAATCTGTGGGATTGTTCAGTCAGATAATACACCGTTATCCTGATTGGTGACATAAATGTCATGTCGGAGTCAGAATCCAAGGCTGTCGGTGTGTTAAGGCTGGTTTTAATGGGTTCTGTTCGTTTTTCCTAAAAACCTGTTGGATAGCAAAGTTTTGGATTGTTAAGGGTCTGATTATCGAGTCACGACTGTACATCCACAATGATTCATCTTTAGGGGCTATAAACAAACAATATGTGGTGATTCTTGTTTGTAGAAATTTTCAGAAAATTATTAATAACAAATTCTTAAAATATTTAGATTGTTTTCCTCTTCATCCACGCATCACTCCATTAACTAATCATTTTATTTTTGACCCAGTGATTTTGTTAAAGTGTAATATTCTGCACTTAAAACAGACATTTTCAAATTGCATGAAGTTGTTATGTCACGTCTTTGCTTTCTGAATGGATGTTCAATATGTTATTCTTGGGTGGAGACCAGAGTCTCATGAATAGCTTTGATGATGCACTGCAAATGCACTTTGATGTTGTTTTTAAAAAAAAAATCATCTTGAGAAGCAATTTGGCACTTTACTTTTTAGAAGTATTTGAGTGGAACAACAACAACAACAACCAAACAAACACAGGTATATTTGCCATTTCTAGTTATTATTACTAACTAGAAAGCATTTGTGGGACTCCTGTGGCTGTTAAAAACAGCGCTTTAGTGGAACATTTACCTCAGAATGCACAGTTCTGTTAATGAAGCTGATTAATTATGCCAAGTGCTGGGCTTGTTGAATAAAGAGAGGCTTTTTATTTGTATACTAACCTTTCAGTAAGGCTCTGTGTCTGCAGAAATCATGTCAAGTATATTTTTTTGCTTCATATGAATATTCTAAGCAAAAAAATTCCAGAAATTCTGAGCAGATCAGTCTTTTAGCTGTGCTGCATCCTGTAGTCACGTTTGCCTGTGTGTCTGTTGTTCCTGAGCTGTGGGGTGTAGGCTTACATCCACAGCAGCTTCCACTGGCGTTTTATTGCTTCATGTGTTTGCACATGCACGGGGAATCAGATAATGCGAGTGAAGTGGGTTGGGCCAAATGTCGTGAGCAGGTTTGACTGATTTGTTTTGCGCTTTTTATTTTTCCAATAATTGTTTGCCGAGCGTGAAAGCTGTTTGTCCACACCTCCTTGTTCTTTTCATACATACACACTTCCTTCACGCTCCCTCAAAGATCTAAAAAAAATCAAGGGAGGCTTGTACTGAATTTTTGACTCATTGTTTTCCGTCAATTCCATCCATGGAATGAAGAGGTCAGCAGCACTTAATTATTCCCCCGAGGTCACCACATAATACCAGGTGAAGCAGAATAGGCTACCGTCGATGCTCTTAAATGAGCATTCATGGTCGATATTGATATTAAGCATCTCAGCTGATCCAGAAGGCTGTTCTGTTGTTTCTAGTTGTGGTTTCTATTGTTGCAAGTCTAAAGCAGTTGTCTCAATGGGTTGTTGCTTTCCAAAAGAAAAAACAAAACAAAACACAGACTCACAACAGCTTGTCTGTTTGCCACACTTGCAATACGTCATAAACTGACAACTGTAGTGGACTTAAATCTGTTCAGTTGTGAAACAAGTTTTGAAAGCTGATTTTTAATTACAGTCGTGACTCGATAATCC